TATTTCATTGAGTATTTTTGCATCTATGTCAAAACAGAAATTGGTTTATAATTCTCTTTCTTTGTCGGGTCTTTATGTGTTTTGGGTATCAGGGTAACTGTGGCCTCATAAAATGAGTTGGGAAATGTTCTTTCTGTTTCTATTTTGTGGAATAATTTGAGGAGTATTGGCAGCAGCTCTTCTTGGAATGTCTGGTAGAGTACTGCACTAAAACCCCATCTGGACCTGGGCTCTTTTTGGTTGGGAGAATTTTAAGGACTGCTTCTACTTCCTTAGGGGTTATAGACCTATTTAAATTGTTTATCTGATCTTGATTTGACTTTGGTAAGAGGTACCTATTGAGAATTATCCATTTCTTTTAGATTTTTCCAATTTTGTGAAATACAGGTTTTTAAAGTGTGTCCTTATGATTCTTTGAATTTCCTCAGTGTCTATTGTTATGTCCCCAATTTCATTTCTGATTTTGTTAATTAGGATATTCTCTGTCAGTCTTTTAGTTTGTTTGGCTAGGGAATTTTCTATAGTGTTTTCTCAAAGAACCAAATCTTTGTTTCATTGATTCTTTGTATTGTTTCTCTTTCATTATTTCTTATGTTTTTGCTTGCTTCTTAGGTACCTTTGCTTGGAATATCTTTTTCTTTTTTCAAAAATTTTTTTCGTGTTTTTTTTCAGTCCCTGCCCCTCCCCCATGCTCTATGCAAATTTTTCCCCACGTTTGGACCCCAGGGATTATATACAGCATATCGTTTAATTATTAATTTTCCTTTTTTTTTGTACAAAGTTTTCTTTAAATAGAATCCGGGCCAGAAACACACGTGTGCTGCGATTTCCTTTTTTTTTTTCCCCGATTTTTATTTTTATTTTTTTCAGTTTTTCTGCATCGTCAATTTTTTTTTTTTCTTTCAATAATAAAAGTCTCCGGTCCTGTTCCCGTCCCCAAAGCAGGGCATGAAAAAAGTTCCCATGGAGCACTGCTCTGGGTCCCGCGTCTCTGCCCCCTGTTGCGTGGAAATCACCCAATATGATTCTTTTTCTGTCGGTGTGTCAGAATGAAAATGAAAATTCAAAATGTCTCCTCTGCATGCCCTGTGGCACACTGGGTCACCATCCCTTTTCCTTTTTTACCCTTTTCATCATAATTAAAATAAAAATGAAAAAAATTTCCATCTCAATTGCAGGAAATTTTCCCAGTTTCCTTTTCCGCCAAAATTAAAATAAAAATTCAAATTTTTTCTCTTCCAGAAAACATCCCGAGTTTGGTTTCTCTGGAAAATTCCTGTTTCACTTCTGTGAAAATAAAAATGATTTTCTCCCTGCAAACCCCGTAGGGTTCATCGCTTTCATAGCTGTTAAAATAAAAATTTCGCCAGGCGGTGGTGGCGCTTGCCTTTAATCCCAGCACTGGGGAGGCAGAGGCAGGCGGATCTCTGTGAGTTCGAGGCCAGCCTGGGCTACCAAGTGAGTTCCAGGAAAGGCGCAAAGCTACACAGAGAAACCCTGTCTCGAAAAACCTAAAAAATAAAAAATAAAAAAAATAAAAATTTCAAAAATTTCGTCCTCCGTTCTGAAATAAACACAAATTCTGGTTTTTTTTGGGGGGGTGAAAGACTCCCGAAGGTAGTCTTCCCTCTGGAGAGACCCTCGCCCAGAGATCACACCGAGACCACAAGTCAGATGCAAACAGCAAGAGGCTTTATTCAGGAACACGGGTACCCGGGGCGACACAGTCCCTCCAGAGGCTGAAGAGACTGGCACGCCGACGGGCTGGAGTGGAGGGTTTTTATAGGGTCGGGCAGCGGAAGGGCGGGTACAGAAGCAAGAAGCATGTTCTACAGGGTTCTGATTGGACGACTCATATGAGGCCATGGCTTACAGGGTTCTGATTGGACGACTCATATGAGGCCATGGCTTACAGGGTTCTGATTGGACGACTCATATGAGGCCATGGCTTACAGGGTTCTGATTGAACGACTCATATGAGGCCAGGTTCAAACTCAGGACAGCTCGTGGTTTTTCCCGGAGCTCGACACGCCTGCTGACCTGGCTCCCATCCAGGGTACAAACTGTCCCTCCGACCCTCCAGTTCCCTGTTCTGGGGCCAGGTGGCCGACCGCAGACACCCCGCTCGTTCCTGCGCCCATGTCCTCCAACTGAACCCTCCCCGTACTCCTCAGGCCCTGCTCAAAATGGCGTTAGGCCAAGCAAGCATGCTGGGGCCCCTCAGCACCACCCCAGAAGAGTCCCGGGGTCCTGGCCTGCACCTCCCTGCAGGGCTCCCCAGTCCTCAGGCCGCGCCACCCCGGGGGCACCCGGGCCCCAGTTTGCACCGCCCGGAGGGTCCCCGGCCCTCGGCCTGCTCCATCCCGCAGGGCCCCGGGCGCGCGGGTCGCGGCCCGCACCCCCCTCGCCGGCGGCGGCACCGGGCGCTGGCGCCGGGCAGCGGCGCCAATCGGGCTCGAGGACACGGCGGGCCCGGGCTGGGAGTCTGCGGTCTCCGCCCGCCGCGCTACGACGCGGGGCCCGGGCGCGCGGGCCGCTGCGGGGCGCATGGCGGGCGCGGGCGGCTGGCGCGGGGACGGGGATGCGGCCTGGCCTGCGCTGCCCGCGGCTCCGCTCCTGGCGGCCTTTGGGGGGGGGGGGATTTCCATCAAATTTTAAATAAAAAAGAACGCTGTTTTTACACTTGTCACCGAAATAAAAACAAAAATAATAAAATAAAATAAAAATAAAACATCCAGTATCCACCTCCATCCAAACCACAATGTGGCTGTTTTTCCAAATTAAATTCTAGAAAATGCTCTGTGTTACCTTAGTCTTGAAATTTCCACCAAATTTCCATGAAAATACAAAATTTCCAATTTTACCACCGATTCCTGGCAAAAATTCCCAGGTTTGGGTCCCAACTACTCTTTTAACTGAATTTGAATTTTAATTCAAATAAAAATTCACAATTTTTCCTCCCCCCAGGAGCCAGGAGTGCATGCACCTTACGCACTTTTCTCCCCATTGCTGTCCAGATAAAAGTCAAAATTAAAAATTCAAATTATTTTTCCCTAAAATTCCACAACATTCCAAATTTTTATCTGTGACCCGGGAAACAAAAAATTAAATTTTCCCAAAATTTAAATCATTTTCCCGCTGAAATTTTGGGAAATTTCCCTGTTTTCCCATCTGCACCTCAACCGCAAAAAGAAAAAAAAAATTCAAATGAAAACTTGAATCCTTTTCCCGCTAATTCCCAAAATTCCTCTTCCTTCTCTGGGTGCAGTGTTGTCCTCAATCCCTGGTGCCGCGGTACTGGGTGCTGGGCGCTAAGTCCTCCTCCACTTCCCGTTTCCAGTTCTGGGGCGGAAGTGGCGGCCATTTTGCAGTGTTTCAGGGCGGGCAATGGTGGTGATGGAAAGGGAAGCGCCCGCGGCCCCGCCCCCCACCTCCCCGCGTCCAGGGAGTTCTATGTGCGTGGTGGAGTGCCCGTGGGGCAGGTTCGAACTGTTCTGCCTGCCGCCCGCCGAGAACGTGTTGAACATGTGCAGAGGTGGCAGAAGTCCCCCCCACTCCCCGTTTCCGGCTGTGGCAGTAGTGACAGACGGGCGCTTTGTGGCAGGCCGGAGCTTGGCAGGCAAGCGGCAGGTTCCTGCGCGCAGGAACGACGTCATAAGTCTGGCAGCAGCGCCCGCATGGTGGTGGAGACGTACTGGAAGATGTCGTGCAGGCTGTGCAGGTGCGGCACCAGCTCGAGCCAGAAGGCCACCTTGGTGGCGTAGTAGTGGTCGCACATGTGCGGCTTGAGGCCGTTGTGCAGGTAGAGCTGGTCCTTGAGGTTGTACTTGGTCCATGAGACACTTCGTGTGGATGAACTTAGTGTCCTGCGTGCGGCACCAGCTGGTTCGGATCCCCAGTCTTGGCGAAGTTGGTCCATTAGGTCACGACGACCGTGCTGAGCATGCCGGCATTGCGCGAGAAGTTGCAGGCAAAGAAGTCGGTGGGGCCCAGCATGGGCATGCCAAACACGTAGGGCACCTCGTCCTCCTGCGAGGGCCCACACGGGCTTCGTCGCTCTGGCAGTGGTGGTAGAAGTAGGTGGGCGACCAGTACTGCACATGCAGGTCCGCCGTTGCCACCTACTGGTGGTCCATGAACAGCGCCACCAGCGTCTTCCGCAGCGTCTCTGCGTTCTCGCGGTCCGCCCAGTCCGTGTACATGAACTTGATGGTCTCCCTTATGTCCTTGCCCTCCAGGTAGCCGTAGCCGTAGAGGTTGTTCACAAAAATCGAGACCACAAAATCGCTAGGCAACACGCCGTCCACAAAGCGCAGCCCCTTGCCCTGGTTGATGCCCAGCATGATGTCGTAGTTGAGGTACTCGCCCTGCTCCATCAGGATCTGAGGGTTGAACGCCACGTAGTGCGTGGCCGGTGACACCCGCTGCTGCGCCAGCTCCCGCCAGGCCGCCCACCACAGGCACAGCTCGCTTATGTCCAGCATGTTGCACACGGCCTGGTCCGCCAGCGCACATGTGTACTTGGCCGGCTGGTAGTTCATCGCCCAGCTCTACAGCGCTGTGCTGCTCTGGATGATCGCCTTCTGGAACAGGCCTTCCGAGTAGTGCGAGAGCATGAGCAGGCTGACGCAAGATGGTGATGCACCGACATTCTCCTCCACCCAGCGCAGCGCCTGGATCTGGTCCAGGAGCCCGGAGTTGCCCTTGGCAGCCTGGTCGCCCGTGCTCAGGAAGCCCAGGATGCCCAGGCGGTAGTTGATGGTGATGACGATGATGTTGCCATAGCTTGCCAGGATGCTGCAGTCGATCATGTTGCCGGTGCCCTCCATGTAGGAGCCGCCTTGGATGTACACCATCATGGGCTTCTTGCTGATCGGGTTGTGGATGTCGACCTCAGTGGGCACGTAGACGTTCAGGTAGAGGCAGTCCTCGCTCTGGTCCTGCACATACGTGGCCAGCGTGTCAAGGTTGGCGGTGAACCACACAGGCAGTATGTCCTGCAGCGCGCGTGCTCTTCCAGTTGCTGCGTGCACACAGGCGTGAACCCCGAGGCTGCTTTGCACAAGCTGGGCCAGGATGAGGGCAGCTCCGGCGGCTGGAACTGCAGGTCCCCCAGTGGACGGGGCCTCGTAGGGCACGCCCAGGAACCGCTCCACGGTGCCCAGTTCACTGGGCAGTGCCACATGCACCCCGGAGCTTCCCGTAGTTGGTGCTCAACCCGACAATGACGGAGCGGCTGCCGCTGCCACAAAGGGTCCTGGCCTAACTTTTAAAGATAAAGCATAATTTTCAACAGTGTGAACCTCTTCTTGTAAAAAGCCACATGAAGACTCAAAGAACTTTTACCAAGGACATTTATAGTCCCTGCTTCTCTAGCAAAAGAAATATTTTTTACTGCCTTGGTTTCACTGGAAGAATTTCATATATAGCAGGAGTCTGCTGATGCTGAGGAAGAAATAAGTCTAGAAGATATCTATGAGAAGCTCCTAAAAAGTAGACTGTGTGGGCAGCAACCACTTTCCCAGGACTCTCCTCAAGGCCCCAATGACCTCTTTATTCCTCAGGCTGTAGATTAGGGGGTTCAAAGCTGGGGTGACAACACTGTAGAAAACAGAGAGGATGTTTTCTTGTTCAGGACTAAGGTAGGAACTGGGTAGGACATACATGACCGTGAGAGCCCCATAGTACAGCCCAACCACAGTTAAATGAGAAGAACAGGTGATAAGGGCTTTCTTCCTTCCTTCATTTGAGGGCTTGTTGAGCACTGTGAAAAGAATTAATGTGTAGGAAGTCAGGATGAGAGCAAGAGGTGGAATTAGGAATGCCACACCCATCACATAAACCATGAGCTCATATGTGGATGTGTCTGCACAGGCCAGCTTCAGCAATGGAGGGATCTCACAAAATAGGTGTCTGATCTTCCGGGATTTGCAAAAGGGATACTGCATGGTGTGGATGGTATATCCTAGAGCACTCAGGAATCCTAGGATCCATGATGTAGCTACTCCAAGCCAGCAGATGCTTGGCCTCATGAAGATCATATAGTTCAGAGGATGACAAATGGCAATATACCTGTCATAGGCCATGAAGGCCAGAAGGAGGTCCTCTGCACCACCCAGTGTCAATGCCAGGAACATCTGAAGGGCACAACCCCCTAAAGAGATAGTGTTGTCTTTGAGCAGAAAATCCATGACAGCCTTGGGAATGATAATTGATGTGAGAAAGAAGTCTATGAGAGAGAGCTGCCCAAGCAAAAAGTACATGGGCACATGGAGTTGTCCATCCACAGTGATGACCAGGAGCAGCAGTCCATTGCTAGTCAGAGCCAATGTGTACAGGACTGTGATCATGGCACAGAGCAATTCAGGAGAGCCACTGTCATCTAGAATCCCCACCAATATGAAGGCACTTCCCAAGGTGGAGTTCAAAGGCTCCATTTTGAGTCATTTCTTTAGCTGCCAAAATAAGATGGTTCAATTCAGTTTTGCTAATACGGACCTTGGTTTTGTAACATCAGAGTTCACTTAGGATGCCCAACATGACTCCAGTAAGGTGACATTTTTCCCACTATAAGTAGCTTTGCTTCTTGGTTTCCAAATTTCTAGTTGGCAATTGTATCTTAAAGAAAGATTTACCTAAGTGTACATCACGTACTACAGTAATAATTAAAAAATAGGATGTAAAAAAAAAAACATGATGAAAATATTATACAAGATAGTAAACCTGAAGAAGTATCTTTCTAGGAGGACCAAACTATCTCTTTGTTAAGATTAATAAAATACCACAGCATTCCTTTAGTGTAAATTTGGTTAGTACTTTTAACATTCCAGTTTGCTTTCTGCATAGACATATGAATTGAAATTAATCTAAATATAAAATTCTCAGCTGATACAGAGATGTGATTTTATTAAATTATTTCCATTGCTAATCCACATTTCTGCTCTTTTTTACAAGATAGTGTGCAACCCTGGCTGTCCTGAAACTCATTCTGTAGACCAACTTGGCCTCAAACTCACAGCAATATGTCTGCCTCTGACTCCTGAGTGCTGGGATTAAAAGATGAGCCACTTTCCATGGTCTCCTATTCCTTGTTCTCCCTCTCTGTTGTTGATCCAGCTGGGATCTCCCACTCCCCTAAGCTCTCTTTCCCTCGACTCTCGCCCTTCATTACCCCCACTAATGTCCAGGCTGTTCATGTAGATCTCTTCCATTTCTCCGTCATTGGGCGATCCCCGTGTCTTTCTTGGGGTCCTGTTTTCCAGGTAGCCTCCCTGGTGATGTGAGTAGCAGTCCAGTCATCCTTGTTCCACATCTAGTATCCTCCTATGAGTGAGTACATACCATGTTTGTCTTTCTGAGTCTGGGTTACCTCACTCAGGATGATTTTTTTCTAGATCCATCCATTTGCTTGCAAACCTCATGGAGACCATAGTAAATGAAGACCACATCAGAATAGGAAGAAGCAAAGTGCTAGAGAGGCCCACAGAAATCCACAAAGATACCCCCACAACAGACTTCTGGCAATGGTAGAGAGACAGCCCGAACTGACCTACTCTAGTGAAGGGATGGCCAAACACCCTAATTGTCGTGCTAGAAACCCCATCCAACTACTGAGGGATCTGGATGCAGAGATCCATGGCTAGGCCCTGGGTGGAGCTCTGGGAGTCCAATTATCGAGAAAGAGGAGGGTTTATGTGAGCGAGAATTGTTGAGACCAAGGTTGGATAAAGCACAGGGACAAATAGCCAAACGAATGGAAACACATGAACTATGAACCAATGGCTGAGGGGTCCCCAACTGGATCAGGCCCTCTGAATGGGTGAGACAGTTGATTGGCTTGATCTGTTTGGGAGGCATCCAGGCAGTGGGACCGGATCCTGTGCTCATTGCATGAGTTGGCTGTTTGAAACCTGGGGCCTATGCAGGGTCGCTTGGCTCAGCCTGGGAGGAGGGGACTGGACCTGCCTGGACTGAGTCTACCAGGTTGATCTCAGTCCTCGGGGAGGCTTTGCCCTGGAGGAGGTGGGAATGGGGAGTGGGCTGGGGAGAAGGTGAGGGGGGTGGGAGGGGGGAGAACAAGGGAATCCGTGGCTGATATGTAGAACTGAATTGTATTGCAAAATAAAAAAAAAAAAAAGATGAGCCACTACCTTCCAGAACCTTGTATGTTCTTAAAGAAGGTCTTTCTATATAGTCCAACAGAACCTTTTGCCTCAGCCTTTGCAGTGCTGGCATTTTAAGTATGCACCAAACTGTCTAGCTCATTTTGTACATTTTGTGAGTCCACATTTGTTTGTAAAAAACTTCACTGCAAGAACACAAGGTTGTCCACATTAATTACCTGTTTCAAAGCCCCACATTCTCTGTGAGCCTGAAAGAGGATTACTGTCTAAAGCTGGGGGAAACTAAGCTTGAGAAAGTGTTGGGTTTATAGTTAAACCTTAATCAATGTGAACATTTTTTTTTATTTTAACAGATTACTATGCCTGCAAAGACATAGAAATAAGAGATTTCTGCCCTTCATATAAAAATGGTTCTGTTTATGCTTAGGAGATATGACAAAATTCCACCAAGGAAGAGGTACTCTGTGATATAATCTGCCCAAATAATCCTATCCTAATACAGCCATTGATCCCAATGTCCATGCTCCTTCCTGTAAATACAGATATGCACCAGATAGAAGGAGAATAGGGATGGGGGAGTTTTCTTTCTGGAAAGCTGCTATTGAAGCATGGTGCCAACAGCCATGAAGAAGCTGATAAAAGGAGGGGTCTAATGTTGACAGGAACCTTGGCTGTGCATCATGAAACTGCAGAGATGAAGCTAATTCAGAGCATGAAGTTAAAATGAAGGTAAAAGTGAAACATTTTGCATAAGTCATGTAGTCACTTCTCTGCATATATGCATGAACATTTCATTAGTCTATATTGGCTTCTCTGGGGACCAACAGTAGTTTGAGAAAAAGATATGAGAATGTGGAACAAGTATCTCATTAGTTCAGTTGGTTTTTGAAGGCAATCATCTATCTATCTGATAGATATTATCAGAAGCCAGTGACATTTATAAGGTCTGAAGGCCTGTACTAAGACTCCTACCAGGAAGGAGTTACTGAGGACTGAACTATTTTATGGAATCTATCAGTCCTAATGACCCCCTTTTCATATTCAAAAAATCAGAAGTAGATAGACCAAAAAGGCCATGGATTTCAATGCACTAGAAAACTTGACAGATGTTAGTTTAAGTGTTTAGATACTGCTCTTGACTCTAATTCTTGACTCAAATGCCTAAAACCTACATATGTCATTAAAAGAGAGAAAAATTCCTTACCTTAGTTGGTGAGAATCCTACCTACCTGCACCTGGCTTCACACTGGACTGTTTGACAATTAAGGGTGTTTCATTACAAACATTGGGAGGTCAGGTTTTATTTCTTTCAGCAGTTTTTGATTTGTTTAAAGTTTTCTTAGTTGGTGCAGTATATTAGAAATCCATCTCATGTCAGGTGTCAGGGATGTGCTATTGGTTCCTTTCATCTTCAGACATCGCTGAAAATAGCCATGGGGACAACCAAGCAACTAACAGTTTTTGATTCATCTTCAGACTGTTCTTGGGTGTCACGCTGAGGTTACTATGTTTCTGCTGCTGTCTGTGAACCAATATGAAAGTTGTAGGAAGGAAGTAGAAAACTTAATTTGATATTCAAAAGGCCCTGTCTTGTGCCACTAAACATCCCTGGGGCCAGGAGTACATCAGAGTCTTATCTTCTATTCCCAAGACCTCCTCACTTCATTTTCCTATGTATATCTTTATATAGACCTATATATTATCTCAAATGACCTCCTTGAAAATGTTTACCTTGGAAACAAGAAAGTTAATGAGTCCTCTTGGGAGTGTTTTCTGGCTTGTCTTACTGAGGCCTTTTGTTACCAGATGAGCTCTGAGGCTCTAGGTTTCTCCTCCCATTGAATGTAGAACCCAATTTCCTTAGCCTCCCAACTACTGATGGGAGCTAAATGACACACACACACCAAGACCTTACCAGACTTCCCTAAGTTTCTGTGTAATTGTAAACAAAAACCAAAATGTAACTGAATAGAACTGCAAAGGTTCATTCCCTTATGGTCATCAGCCTTCTGGTTTAGAGCATAATATTCTCTTCTCAAAATTTGTGGGATGCAGTTTTCCTTACTTTTTCTTCCTCTTAGACTATTGCAATTCAACATGGCTTTTCTGGGTTGTTGTGGAGGTGAGATTTTTTTTTCATTTTCCTCTAAAAATCCCGCACAGCTTCTGTGCACGCTCATGTTTTGGTGCCATGAGTGATGGTTGAAGAAAAAGAGTTCAATTTTCCTTTTATTAAGCCAGAAAGTAGAAGGAAATTCATTCAGTGCTAGAGTTGTAAAGAGTCAATATCAATTAAAATCATCTAAATGCTTTAGGGGATAAAATACCTACTATATAAAAGACATTTAGATAACAATGGCAGTAAGTAATAGGACAGTGGAGACATGTTTTAAAAAATGCTTAGAGACAGTCTGGGCTGGCTGAAGGCATCCACAGGCCCTGCTAGTGCCATTCAGCTCAGGTGGGAAGAAGACACCCACTGTCCAGTCTGGAGTGCCCACATTTCTGTCATGCTGAAAGCATCTACAGACAGGATCAGTGCTGGTAGGTTTCATTAGAATGAGAAGATATATGGTGGAGAAATGGGAGAGAAAGTAGCAGAACAATTCCCATGCTGTACATAGAGACATCTGGGCCTGGGCTGCTGCCAAGGTCTATATCTGAGTCTATGGTCTTACTGCAACCAGGGTCTGTGTTGATATCCATGACCCATATTGCCAACAAAGGCCACTAGGATGCCCTGTGGCTATGTTGGTGTCCAAGGGCAATGCTGATCTGAGTGGCCTGTGCTGCCTCCTGGGGCCATGGTGTCATCTGAGTCTGAGCTGCTGTTGAGAGCCATGTCTGGGTCCATGGCTTTATAGCAGCCAGGGTCTGAGTTGGTGTCTATGCCTCCTGCTATCACCAAGGGCTGTGCAGATGCCCAGTGTCTGGTTATTGGTGAAATTATTAAGGCCACTCCACGTAGTTAAAAGGAAGATTTATTTAGTGTGTAACTTACAAATGAAGGGATAGGTAGGTGGCGGGTTCTGGAAAAGATGCAGCGAAGTCTGGCAGTATTCTCTGGAGAAGTCCCCTTCCTCTACCTCTAGTGTCCAGGTCCAGGAAACAAGAGAGTGTGGCTCATCCCGATCTCTGGTCTTCAGGGCCCTCCCTTGGCCCCGCCTTGTAGGCGTGATAGTTACTGAAGCCTCAATGGGGATTGGAACTTCCAGACCAAAGCTGGAATGGCTACCACTACATCTGGTCAGTCACCTGAGACCAGGTTGGTGTTTCAGGTCATGCTGCCACTGGGGCCATACTGATCTGAGTAGCCTGTGTTACCACAGGGACCATGGTGATGACTGGGCCTGAGCTGTTGCCAAGGGCCATGTCTGGGTCTGTGTTCTTGCTATAGCTGTGGTCTGTGTTGATGTCCATGGAAACCAAGGGAGTCATAGGAACCATGTGTATTGAAGCCCAAGGGCCTTGCTGTGCCAGCCCCATCCTTCAATGGCCCTGGGATGACTGGCCCTGGCACTC